CTGGGTTATATTTTTGACTTGAGAAAATTGTGCCTGTGAATTTCTTTCAATATCCTCATCTTAAAAAGAAAATGGACTTCCAAAGCACCAGTCTAACTGGGGGCATTTTAAATTCAGGCATGGTCAAAAAATGTGTCAAAGAATGCACAAAATTCTGTCTTCTTTTCAAATCTCCACTCACCTGCCAAGGCCACTCCTAGAACGTCCGAAAACAAGAAGTTGTTTCTTAGAGCCAGATCCACCTACAACATCTGCAGACGTGGGAGAGAGACATCCCAATCCTGTAGCCTTTTCCTTTTTTCTTCTCCCACGTGAGCCTGCTGGGTTAACCTCATAACTAATATCTGTTACAAATTCCCCACTTGCCCTTTAACCTGTGATAATGCACCAGCCTCCAGCGGCAACAGATTGGGCACAGCATTACTTAATTGCTATCTCCTATTTTGGTTTAAAATCTTCTGACTTCAACATTTAACAGTATTGGATATCAGCGGTGGAACGTAGCACCAGAGATAGACTATCTTGCAAAAATAATACGCCACGTATTTCAAAATCAGAGCATTTGCTGTCAGCCCATGTTTCTGGCCAAATATGGAAAGAGAGATCCCCTTTGCCAAAGCCGTCTTGGACCTTTGAACAAGGCAGCTCTCTGTAACGATCCTTGGTGAGAACATGTTCTTCTGTTAGACTGCATGCCACATTTCATATTTGCGTGGGACTCTCATCCCTGCGGCCGCTGAAGGACTTGGCAAGGGTTCCTTCCAGTTTGGCCTGAGGTGGGAAGCTCAGTTAGGGTGGGTTTCCCATGAATGACAACTGGGAAAGCAGCTTTCTCAAAGCCAGAGTCATGGACCTGGGGGAAGAAGGAAATAAGTTGGACTAGAATTAGAGACCAGGTCCTTTGCTTCCAATCCAGCAGCATTCTGCCTCTGTCTGGATGCCCTGAGTGCGTTTGTAGGTCTCCTGACTCCTGAGAATTGGAATCAGGAATTAGTATCCATGATTGATTGCAGAGCCTCATCTGCAAGCCTGGGTGGTCAGTACACATTTCTTTCCATTGGGCGATGCCGTGCTTCCTTTCAAAAGCTCATTAGAGATGCCCCCTCCCTTTGAAAGGCACAGAGATGTTTCATGTGCCATTTTCAATTTGTCCAAGTTGCTACTCCAAAGAGCTGGAAATTACAAGAGGGTGTGCTTCTGAAACTGGAGGAGTCTCCCTGACTGCAGCTCTGGGGACAGCATCTTATTGAGCTTGGGATTAAAGTTGCCGGGCAAAACTAGATGATGGGATGCTGTTTTTCATTCTCAGTTTGGCTCTGTCTCTGAATGGTGAGGCATATACCCTATTCTGGGAGGAGTAGGAGGGTCAATTTCAGTACTTTGATGTTGCTTTACAAAAGTGGAGGAAATGAAATACAGATTCCTGAAATATTAGTAACCCCAGGGTTTGTGTTGCATTGTTTTTAAGTTTTGGAAAATATGATCCAGGAAGATGGGGGTCATGGATTTTCCTTTAAGCTGATGAATGTCTCTGCTCTCCCTTTCTGCCTGCTTCTCACCATCCAGCATCTCTGCTGCCCTGAGGTTGGGCTGTCCTGGGAAACTGTCTGCACTTGGAGCTCTGAGTTGAGCTGGCTCCATGTGAGTGATGGAAACTCGGCTCTGGTTCCCTGGCCCAGGGCCCAGCTCCCCTTTCCCTCTCCCTGGGGCGCTGATGAAGTGAAGAGTGCATGCATGAGCAGGCTGCTTGTGTGTCTGTTTACCTTGGCATCCTAAACACTCCAGCCCCATCTTCCCTGTGTGAAAATACTCACGACAAGCTTCTGCCTGTTTCCACTTTCAGTATTTGCTCCCATCAACTTGCTTCTTCTTGGAAAGCTAGAATCCTACAGCTGTATTGACCAGCACAAAGACCTTTGTGCTGGCTGAATAACAAGGGGACCTTCATGTGACTGGCAAGTGATTCGATTTCCCATGGGTTGCATCATGTTTTGGGACGCGAGGTAAGCATGGGACACTCCAAGGGGGTTAGGTCCCTGGGGAAAGGTGCATAGCAGTGGCTTTGAAGTCAATATTCTTTTAAGTTCGTGCCCAGTTTGCATCAGAGAAAAGGTTGTGCCCAAATGAGGACAGTCAGTGAACTTGTAGAATGTCACCAACCTGTCCAGGAGGTTGTCCCCTCTGAGGCAGTCATAAGACTGCTGGTGTTTGGCATGATGGTTCAGGAGGGGGAGCCCCAACTAACCGGCATCAGGTTCTCTGTGGGTTGCCGAGTGGATGAGGCAATCAGGAGTGAGAGCACAGGAGCCTGAGGACAGGAAAGGCCATGCAGAAGCACTTCCTAGATGCAGTGGATGGATGGGGCTTTGCTCATGCTGCGGCCACGGTTGAGCAATGCCATGTGGCTATAGGGGCTTTCTTATATTAAAAACAGGTCTAAGACGGCTACATCTTCTTTTCAGAAGGCCCACGGGTTGCTAGTCCCAGTCTACACGTGGTGCTGCCCAGGTGATATAGCACCAAGGAGAGGGAGGCCAATTGCACTCCTGGCTCCTGGGGGAGGGACCATGGCAGCTCCCAAGGCTACCTGTGGCTGGAGAGCTGTCTGTCCTCACCCCATGTGCAACAGCACTTTTGACCCCTGAACTCATTGCTTTCATGTCTCTATTCCACCCATTTCAGTATTTGCCTTGGTGTATTTGGGGTCGGCTGCCAAAATGATTGGAAAAGAGGCCAGTTGTTTTCACTGGGAAACAAGCATTAAAGAATAGACACTGCCTTTATCAATAGTTATCGTTTCTTTGTCTTCACACTGGGGCAAGCAGTTTTATAATTATCCCCCTTAATCACACAACTGCCCTGTGCAGTAGGCATTCTTCTTAAACCCATTTAATGGATAAGCAAACTGAGACAGAGAGATATACAGCTCATTGGAGGTCTTTCTCACCACAAGTTACTGGAAGAATCTGGATTATAATCCAGGTCACGTTTCACACGTCACTGGGAGTAAGAAAAGAGGTATAACTTTTAAATTCCGAGTAGTCCTTATGCATATACCCTGTAACCAAAAGCAAAGCTCAGGCCTCCTTCCTGCGCATGTGGTGCATTGACTATTCAGGGACACCTCAAGGCACAGCTCTGATCCCAGCAGCACAGACAGCGCAAACCTGCCACCGGAACCCATGGGAATAGAGATGTCCTGCAGTGTTCCCCTAATTTTTGGAAAGAAGTGAATGGCAACGAGAAAGGTGGTCCAAGGGATTTATTAAGCACGAAGAAGAACTTCCAGGGACATCCAAGGTCTTGCACACCTACCTGGAACCTGTCTGGTGGTGTTAGGATCACAAAATGGGGACTTGTTATTTCTTTTTTTTTTAATTGTATTTTAGGTTTTGGGGTACATGTGAAGAACATGAAAGATTTTTGCATAGGTACACACATGGCAGTGTGATTTGCTGCCTTCCTCCCCATCACCTACATCTGGCATCTCTCCCCTTGCTATCTCTCCCCAACTCCCCACCCCCGACCGTCCCTCCCCTATCTCCCCCCAACAGACCCCAGTGTGTAGTGCTCCCCTCCCTGTGTCCATGTGTTCTTATTGTTCAACACCCGCCTATGAGTGAGAACATGTGGTGTTTGATTTTCTGCTCTTGTGTCAGTTTGCTGAGAATGATGGTTTCCAGGTTCATCCATGTCCCTACAAAGGACACGAACACATCATTTTTGATGGCTGCATAATATTCCATGGTGTATACGTGCCACATTTTCCCTGGGGGACTTGTTATTTCAATGAGGATTCCAGGAGCTTCTGAGAAGTCTTTGCTGGTTCACAGATGTGCTTCCACTCAGGATACTCTTTCAGTGACATATATTTGAGTTACTTTCAATAACAAGTGTTAAAATGCAAGGAATTTCTGCATCATTTTCAATTAAAAAGCCAGTGCATTGACCAGAGTCATTAGTGGTTTGCAACTGTTCTCAGGGAATGGGCTTTCCGGAGGGAAATGTAGGAGGGAAGTGCAGATAGTTCGAGTATCACCTTTCCAAAAAGGAGTGTGGCTGTGGTGATGCTGTAGGTTCCCGTGAGCCTAGAATACAGGACCACTGTGTTTGGCCTGTGAAACAGGGCAGGTGAACGTTCCCCAGGCTTGCTCTGTGTCACAGATACCCGGCCTACCAGATGGACGCTCTACGGTGGGTACCCTGGTAGCAGAAGCTGGCTCTGATGCAAACCCCTGGTGGAGAATTTATAAAGCAATATCTCATGTCTCGTTGATAGTGACTCACTTAAGATGTTGGCACATTTTTTTTTTCCTATTTCATGTCAAGGATTCTTGGGATAAAATAAATTTAAAAAAAAATGTTTCTAGAAGACAAGTAGGTATCAAAAAAATAAATAAATAAAATGAGCTTAAACATCCACCCAAGTGAATATTAAGAGAAACTTGACACTCCAGAGATGTCCTTTTATCCTGACCTGGATGATGAGACGTGCACAGGTAATACTGTGGGCTGCCTGGTGCCATTAGAAGAAAATGTTGACTAAGCTTACCGTTGTGTCTTCAATTCTGCTCAGTCACATCCCCTGGTTACCTCATCCACATGCTGAAGTTCTGTTTCCTTGTCATTTGGAGATGTTTAACTGTGAAAAGGGCAGGATCACAGGCAATTGAGAATAGATTAATGAATACCCCCATTAATGGAGACTTGAAAAAGACACATAACTCAAACCTTATGTTAAATCTTAGAGGAAATGCCAAGTTTTTATTGTATTTTATTTTTTGGAGATGATCATAAATTTGGTTACTTTGCATTTATTTTTAGGCAGAAATATTGACAGAGTTCAACAAAAGCCAATAATTTTATCAGAATAAAAAAGGAGATGGCTACCACGTAAAACCAGCTGCAGATTCACTGAGAATCACTCCTGGGCACCATCAGTGCGGGAGCTACTTCCCTAAGAGCTGAGACTGTCAGCACGTGTGAAAATCCAACCCAACTCTTACAAGACTGGACCCATGCTGGCAGAAGTTAATGTGTACAGCTCAATACTGTGATGTCAAGTCCAGATCGTGAAAGCAGACTGCCAAGCGAGCAAGGAGGACACCTGCTTCAGTGGCAGGGTGAGGGAGGTCGCGAAATTCACCAAGAGGTAGAAAGCAGCTGAGAAAGCCTTGGGAGACTGGCTGGGACTCAGATGACCAGAGAAAGCCTTTCCAGGAAGAAAGGCTGAGGGAGGGAAACTGACAAATGCTTAAGTGAGTGGAGTCATGGTTGATCGAGGGACCGCAGGTGACTAAGGCAGGGGCTCTGTGAATCAGCACCAGAGAAGGAGTGGAAGGGGAGTGGCCCGTCAAAACACTTTGGAGGGCTGGGAGTGGTGGCTCACGCCTGTAATCCCAGTACTTTGGGAGGCTGAGGCGGGCGGATCACGAGGTCACGAGATCGAGACCATCCTGGCCAACATGGTGAAATCCCGTATCTACTAAAATTACAAAAATTAGCTGGGCGTGGTGGCGTGCGCCTGTAGTCCCAACTACTCAGGAAGCTGAGGCAGGAGAATTGCTTGAACTTGGGAGGCGGAAGTTGCAGTGAGCCGAGATCATGCCACTGCACTCCAGCCTGGCACCTGGTGACAGAGTAAAACTCTGTCTCAAAAAAAAAAAAAAAAGGCTTTGGAAACAAAACCCAGTTTTGGAAACTGAGGTGCATGAGCCTGGCACAGTTGTTTATGAAGCTGCAAGTCTGGCTTTGAGGAGTGACAGAGAAGCTCAGGTCATGACTATGAAAAAGTAAGGAACCCAGAGAATGGGGTGACACTGCAGACGAAGGTGTCTGGGTTGCTGGGGAGTCTGAAGATGGGTGGGTTCTGGGGGAGCCTGGGACACCCCGACTGCACTCTTCCTTCTTGGTCTCAGGAGAGTGAAGAGCCGCTGGAGTGACAGAAGACTTTCAAGTGAGAGACCTGAGTTGGAGGCTCGGACTTTGTTGTACAATAGACCATTTGGCTGGCCTTTGTCTCCAGTTCCTGGGAAGGACCCTCTAAGTCCTCGGAATTTCCTGAGCGATAGGATGCCTTTGTTATTCATGGTAGGCCCCTGTGACCACACCAGAATTCCTGCAAACAGGAAGACTCGGGATGTGACTGGTCACACCAGAAACACCAACATGTGACTAGAGGGTTAGGGCTCTGAGCCCCCATTGGTCTGGCCGCGGGGAGGGGATGCGGCTGGAGATTGTGGCTGGAGATTGAGTTTAATCACATGGCTATTTAATCAATCACGCCTACAGGGTGAGACCCCAATAGGCACTCTGGACACCTGAAGCTCAGGTGAGCGTCCCTGGTTGGTCAAACTTCCATGTGCCAGGAGACTGATACATCCTGAGCTCATGAAAACTTCATATTTGGAATCCTCCTAAATCTTACCCTCTGTGTCTCTCATCTTCATGGTCCCAAGATGTATCCCATATAATTGTGATTCTAGAGCTCTCCCGACTTCTGTGAGTCATTCCAGCATGTGATTAAACTTGATGGGAACCCTGGAATTTGTTATTGGCTGGGCAGAAGCGTAGGTGATCTGGGGACCCTGAGCTTGTGGCTGGTGTCTGAAGTGAGACGGACTTGTGAAGAACTGAGCCTTAAGCCGAGAATTGGACCTGAGTCTGCATGGCAGTGTCAGGGTGGCATGGCATCCCTTTGGCATCAATGTGACCATGTCTCAGTCCTGACCTGGTGCTCTTCATTGAATCAGAGCCCATGGGAAGCCCAAGTGAGGAGACGCACCCTTGTGCAGGGGCTTCCTCTGAGTGAAGCAGCCTGATCATAAAATGTGCCTTCAGATGCCCTTGGTCAGGTCACTTATGGGTCTTCTGAGGTTAAAATATTTGATAGTGACACCACAAAATACTAACGTTAAGAGGAAACAGTGTGGCCAGGCGTGGTGGCTCACGCCTGTAATCCCAGCACTTTGGGAGACTGAGGTGGGCAGATCACAAGGTCAAGCTATCAAGACCATCCTGGCCAACATGGTGAAACCCTGTTTACTAAAAATACAAAAATTACCTGGGGGTGGTGGCATGTGCCTGTCGTTCCAGCTACTAGGAAGGCTGAGGCAGGAGAATCACTTGAAGCTGGGAGGTGGAGGTTGCAGCAGTGAGCCCAGATGGTACCACTGCACTACAGCCTGGCAACAGGGTGAGACTCTGTCTCAAACAAACAAACAAACAAGCAAACAACAACAAAAACGAAAAGAGAAAACACTGTCACCGATATCTATAAGGTCTTGATGAGCCCAGCATTCTAGGATCGGGGGCCATGTGGCATTTGGCACAGAATTGTGTAGCCTTGTCTGCCCCCCGTGGAATTTATTTTCTTCCTGCAAGTTTCTTCTGTGCTGTGTTTCTACCTCCTTCTGCTCTTATGGACTGCTCCTGTGGATGAAGGAGGGCGGATCTTTATGTTTATACCCCTTGCAGCATTTAGCGCATTGGATTTAGGAAGGGGTGGTTTTATAAAGACTCCAACAAAAAAGCAGTATGGCCAGAGAAAAAGAGCCAGTACCACCTGGTAGGAATGGTACAGTGCGGTTTACGGACTTAATGTGTGCACGGGGGTTCAATCCAGTCACCTCTGCATGACCTCAGCATTCCCCCAGCCCTGAGAGCATCAGGAAACCTGAGGCAAGGGAGGCTCAGGCCCTGACAACCTCCCTCCTTGGTCTTGAGCCCTGGATGGTTTTTCTTCTGCAGCTGCACTGGTGGGTCACTTCCTGGCAGAATAGCCATGGAGAATTCTTTGTCTGTCTTCGTTGTTGTTCAAAGTCTTTTAAAAAACAGAGTGTTTTCACCCCACCCTAGGGTTCTGAATTCTGCTTGCCTATATTTCTGCTCCTAGTCAGCATCAGGCAGAAACTGATCATGCAGGAAGAGAGACAATCAGATGTAAATGTGTTTTGTTTTACTGCCTATAGGGGAACGTTCCCAAATATTCTCAGCCAGATGACCTTCCCCCCACCGCTGTTTATTGCTTTCCCCTATCAAATGTTCCCCCAGCTGTGGCAGCTGGAGTTCAAAGCTGTCCCCTTGCAACACAGTGTCCTTGGTGGGTTTTCTGCAGAGTTGATTAATGCTTGGCAGCGTGTGGGCTCCTCCAGGCAGCGGCCCTCTGTTGGATTCTTCAAGGCAAATGAGAATCTGCCGGAAAGAAGTCATAAATCCTCCCTCGCACTGTGCTGTTTGCTTCTGTAGAACCAAGAGAGTCAGATTATTTGAGCATTTGTGTGCCCAGGGTTATGCCTCTGTGATCCACCAACTGAGTCTCCAGCATGGCCTGCATCACACAAAACAAAGGCCTGGAGAGGAGCCTACCCAGCTCCGGCCCCCGCCACTTCATTAAAGACTGTCAGCGGCCTTGATCTATCTGTCTGTGTTACTTGATCCCACACACTGACGTGTGGTAAAGGGCTCCCTTGCTGGAGAACATGGTGTAGGCTGTCAGAATGGAATTTTGGAATTGTGGCCAGACACAACTCACTAAAAACTGTAATTAGTGGGTAGACAGAAAAGCCTCATCACCCAGGGCCCGGTTTTTTGGATTGGTTGGGCCATGCCCATCATGCATGAAGCATTGCAGAGGCATGACTTGGGGCTTAGATCACGGCGGCCCACTTACCCCTACCTGGTACATGCCCCACCGAGACAGTGACCATCAGAGTGTCTGGAGAAACAGGGAGTGGTCATTGGGAGCAGCTCAGCTCCAGGTTGAGCTCCCATTGGCTGCCGAGGTAGCTGCCCCAGGCAGGCCGTTGTGCAGTGCGGCCTCTCTCTGTGGGTGATGCATCTTTGTGATGAGCCATTTCCATCGCGCAGACCTTGAACATAGTAAAACAATATGCCAGCAATTATTCACCACAGCGCCTGCCGTCAGCTCAGAGGAATTCCAATTCACTATCAGTGGTCATTAGCTCAATCGGTAATGATTCAGAGAAGGGAGATGTTGAAGGCACTAGCTATCTTTCTTCCTTTTTAAAATTCCAGATATTCATCTTTGAGAAGCACAAAAGCAATCCCAAGAGAGGATTCAGGCCATCCAGCACTCTTTACTGAGTAGAATCACAGACTGTCTTGACAGAGAACTGGGCTTTGGAGAGATGTTAAGCAAGGCTGACGGACACCACAGTGGCATAGTGTTGACTGCAGGAGACGGACTGGACAGTCAGCTCTGCTTGTCTGCCATTGGGGTAGATCGCATTTTCTGAATATGATCAGACCTATCTATAGACCATCCTCACTGGGTGGTGCTGGGGGCTGTGTTCCCTCTTTTTGGACCTAGGCAGGCCTTTGTAACTGTTTAAATCAATAGTATACGGCAGAGGTGGTCATGTGTGCCTTTTGTAACCAGATCATCAAAGTCATTACAGTTTCTGCATTGGCCTCTTGTCTCTCTCACTCTTAGGACACTTGCTCTTAAAATGCAGCCACTATCTTCTGAGGAAACGTAGGCCACAAGGAGAGGCCACGTGTGGGTGTTCTAGCTAAAAACTGCCAACCAGCATGGACCACCAGATCTACAAGGAAACATCCTTCAGATGGTCCCTGTCTCTGCTTAGAGTATCCCAGTCGAGGGTCCAGACACCATGGAGCAAAGACAGGCCACCCTGCCACTCCCTGTCCAAATTTCTGACCCATAGGACCTGTGAGAGGTGATAAAAGATTATTGTTGCTTTTAGTGAGGAGTGTTGGGGAATATGTTATGCAGAGCAGATAATAGATTCACCTGCCATATCTAGTGGGTGCTGATTGCCCATGGGCCTGAGCATAACCCCATCTCATACGTGTGCAAAGAACAATACAGGAAACCAGTGCGACGGGAGTGGTGGCTCACGCCTGTAATCCCAGCACCTTGGGAGGCCGAGGTGGGTGGATCACAAGGTCAAGAGATCGAGACCATCCTGGTCAACGCGGTGAAACCCCGTCTCTACTAAAAATACAAAAATTAGCTGGGCATGGTGGTGCGTGCCTGTAGTCCCAGCTACTTGGGAGGCTGAGGCAGGAGAATTGCCTGAACCCAGGA